AAAAAAAAAAAAAAAAAAAAAAAAAAAAAAAAAATCAACTGCACAGGTTTTAAGAAGGGCTTGCCTAAATCATTAGCTTGATTTTGGCAAGAAAAAGTATTCACAACCCTGATGCCAAAGCACTATGGTACAGATTACTGCAGCAATGATCTTGGATTCCTCCTACTGCAAACAGTTTTAGCTTTGAATCACTAGCAGGATCTCAGGAAAACATCCCATTATCCAAGCCTTGCAGTTATTCTGGTCACATTACTGCCAATCTGCATTCTGTCAGTTCATTTGCAATTCATAGTTGGTGCTACCAATCAATTATAATTGGCCTCTGTTAGGTAGCAACTAAGTTTGTTTGCCTCTTAGCTAGAGGAACAGCGCAAGATAAAAGGTAACCAAGAGAAGAACAAAGCCCACTTGGAGAACAAAGTAATGATTCCAGAGATGTCTTTATTGCCATATTATATACTACAGAGGGTTGTTTCCTACCTTCACTCCTGCAGCTAGTAAGGGATATATACCAACTAGTAATTGATAAGTGATGGGAAGAAGCTTCCCATATGGACAGTTCATTAAATGACTACTATCAGGTTTTTTTGCACCTTCTCCTTCAAGACCTGCTACTGGACACACTGGAAATTGATAAACCATAAAACTCAGAACCCTATCTGATCTGGTACATGGATATCTACCTGAGACAGGACAGCTATCATCCTAGTCATTGACTGATTAATTCAAGGGGACATAAGAAGAATTAAAAAAAATATTTGCTGGGGTCATACTCATTCTTTTAGTCCCTCCAATTGCAGGGCCTTCAGAAGGTTGTGCCAATGAAATTAAAGTCAGGGGTGGGGGAAGAAAAACTCACAGAAACTGGGGTGTGGACAGAAAATTCCTTCCTCCCAAGTCCATTGGGTATTTAAACATTAAGAAGAAGTACAGGTGTCCAACCAGATTTCCTATCAGCTCATTGATGATGCTGCAAAGCAAGAAAAATTATCTGAAATACCTCAAGAAACAAAGGAGCCATGTTGCCACTTCCACTTTAAAGTGTCAGAGTACATCAAGGTCCCCCCCTCCTGCCCAACCCAAGAACCACAGAATTTTCTCCATAGTTTATTACAGGCTACTTCTCTCAACTTCACCAACATGTCAGCACCCTGCCTTCTAGGCATTCTCCTAGAATTAATACAATTAATGCTTACTAATATTGGGAATTAGAGTTTCTGTAACTCTCAAGAACTAAAATCAATTGCCACCTCTACTCAACAGCCTGTCCTCTCTCTCATCTGCTGTGTTTTTGGATCCCAATTTAACAGACTTATAGTTTTTCAGCAGAACTGGGGCCTTTGATTATTTTTGTTTCCACATATGGAAACAGCAGATGTTTAAAAAAGGAGCAGTTTCCTGAAGGGGTGGGTTAGTCAGTAGGAAGCACAACCAGAACCTAAATACAGAAAGCACAAGTTCTCTCTTCCATAGACCATGTATCTAGATGGTAGTGACAGCAGTAGTCATGGTGCTCCACAAGCATCAATAGAAATCAGGGCACCACTGTATAGGACTGTGGACCAGCAGTCTCTGCTCCAAAAAAAGGCATATAAACAAAATGAAGAGGGATAATAAAATACATGCAGGCTGAAGTCTGCTCAGAAGGATGGCTAGCAAATATCACATGTGTTCTGTGTGGGCTTCCTCCCCCTCTCCTCCTTAAACATAATGTGCGATATGGAGACAAGGGCTAGGAAAAAAAAGGAAGTGGAAGAAGAGCTTAACTCTGTGGTTTCAGGAATGAGAATGGCTTAGATTCTTGTTTAGAAGAAAACTTTCACCAAAGGCCTACTACAAAAAATGTGAATTCATCCTATTTTTGTCTGACAAGTTCTGTACAAGTTATCAGAACCTTTAATTTTCTTGCTTTCAAATATTTTCCTTGTAGCAAGTATCTGACCATTGGCAATCCCATTACTGACCCATTAGCTTGAAGCTCATTTTATTGTTATGATCAACCACAGATTATCTCTGGTTATATTTACAACCTCAGGTAAACAAAAATTAGTAACTACTTACGATCCGCCAATGATGTAGTTGAATCCCAGAATAACCCATGGCAAATAACAGGCCTGTACAAAAGACACAGTCAAGTTACGACCACTAAAGGAGAGAAGGAGGCTGCAAAAGTTACTTGGCAACTTCATCTAAGTCTCTTAAGCATTATTATTATTATTATGCAAGTTTAACTTGAACACTTTCCAATTAAAATGGCAAAACATCCTTATTTAAGTAACCATTTTATAGACATAGGAAGCATTTGTGTACAAATGTTTAAAGAAACATTTTTTCTCACATTCTTCCACAGCTAAAATCTGATGGGCAGGCCTACTGGTACTGAACTTGTGCTACCACAGGGTAGCGCAGTGGTCAGAAAGAAACAAAACAGCTGCTCAGAGAAGAACAGGCTAAGATTCAAACTACAAATCTTACTAAGTAGTAGTGACAATTTTCAGTTTTGGGGACCTCCAAAGCAGTTTTCTACTGAAACAACTGGTGCCACATGAAGGACCGCAAGGACCAAATCCTTATGCCCTTCTCCCCCTGTGTGCCATACCTTAAATCTTGTCCCAAACCAAAATGATACAATCATGTCTCTGTTCAGCTGGGCCCACACATAAAGAACTGACATGATGAGAGGAATCATCAACAACTGCAATATAAAGAAACAAAGCAAAGATCATAGTCACTGTCACTTCCATATAACCCTTTCATCTCACAATATTTAACGCGGCAGCAGGACAAGCACAATGTCAACAAAGATGCTCTAAGAACTATACTGCGGCACCCTTGTTGCCTGTATTTTATTATGACCTCACAAATGAACAAGGTAGCAGGTGAGCACGTGAACCAAATTGGCAAGCTGTTCTGTTGTGTAGAAAACTTGCCTCACCTGCTCAGTGCGACTTTCCTATCATTTCTGCCACAAGTGTTGCAGACTGCCCATTTCTGAGCTGGCTTAAATTTCATGCAACTGCTTCAGGTACTGGGATGCCCCAGTCTCACTCTACACACAGCTAAGATAGGTTTTCTGTGAAATGCATTCATGGTTTCAATACCATTTTTTGCGCATTTCGAAACTTAGGAGATAATCTTCCATAAGCGGAGGTCTGTGACTTTAAACACAGCACTTAGGTGAGGACAGACAAAAAGTTTGCACTGGTATTCACATTACACTAAAAGTGAAAGTGTAGGTTCCCAACTGGCTACGGTGGGTTGGCTGCAGGGTCATGGCACGAGCCCCCCACTCAGAGCCCTGTCCATCTGCCCAGCTGTGCAGCTTCCGGGGTCACATCTGAGCTTCTGGGGTTAAAGCCAGGCACCAGGGGAGCCCCAGCAGGGAGGCAGCTAGCCATGTCGTGCTCCCGCTGGGCAGCCATAAAAAAAAAAAAAAGGTGGGAATCACTGATGTAGCAGACAGACACAAACCCCTAAACCAGTGTTACTTCACCTGACCCAGTGGCAAATTATCTGTAAAAAAATAGGGTAACAACTAGTTCAAGTTAGTGTTTCACTTACAATTTCAATCCCCCTGGAGCGGCTTGCTTTTCTGCCACCTGGTGGCAGGTGTCTGTAATGACACCTACTATCCCACGAGAGCTGCACAGCTGTCTGTTCCCGAGATTAATGTCATTTATTTTGTTAACTTAATTTGTATGCTGATATAAGTTACACTGATGTGTCTTTCCACATCTTTGCTGAATTAAGTTTAACTGCTCTGAGCACAAGTAAAACTAGTTTAAGCCTATCTGCATACACTTAAGGGATTGTTAGTTTAACTACATCAATTTAAAAAAACGATCAAGTCAAATCAGTTCAGCTTTTATAGTACTGAGTTAGACAAACCCCAAGAGGTCATAAATATAGCAACAGGTTGTACTAGCAGGGCTGTTTTAGAAATGTTGACTGTTTTATACTCGCTCACTACAGGACTTGTTTTTCTAATCAAGAAATACAAAGAACAAAACAGACTTTCAAGAGATTTTACAAGAGGCTCTGACAATAGTCTAGTTCAGAGGGCAGCACTGTTTTTCTGGTGGCAGACTGGAATGACCCAGCTCAGCTCAAAGGAGGGCCAGCACTAGGTCCCAACTACTACTGCCACCTACTACTGCCACTTCTTACTTCCCAGCCACAGCGTGGCACAGGTGAACCCCCAGCTCCAGACACGATTTGGCCTCTGGGCCGTAGATCACAGATCCCTGGTCTAGCTGATAAACTTGTTAAACTAGGTTCTGTCAGAAATATGGTGTTCTTGGGGCTACTCTACTTTCTTGGATTAGTTTATATACAAATAGCACATCCCAAGAATTGGACATATTTTAGGGTGTAAAAATATTATATGCAAACTTGGAAGACAACTGAAATTCCTTTGGTATACTACTGATTTAAATTAAATACACAAGTTTCAAATTCAAAGAACTGATGTCAGTGCATTTTTTATGGACATAAAATTGGGAAGTTTGCCTCATTCTCCATCAGCTTCTTTTGCTACTTGCCATGATGGACCCCAACCTGAGAATGGGGGGGGGAGAGCAGGGGTTAGCCAAAAGGCAAGATCACCAGCTCACAGACATTACCATGAAGGCATCTAAGGAAATAGGGCAGAGGAAAATCATCAGAAAAAAAGTTCCCAGTCTTACTAAAGTCAGTAGGCAAGATTCACCTCTACCTTATAGACCAAGTCTCGTCCAGTTAGAAGTGCATCTTACAGACTATCTTGCCTTCTGCCTAACCTCAGACTCATGTTGCTAACTACCTCTCTCTGCTTACTGAAATCAGTGGCAGAACTCATCTGGACTTCAACAGGGCCAAGAAGTCACCCCCTTGTCTCCTCAGCAGTGTGATTAACTTTTACAATACATCCCTGCCTGATGTTACCTGAGACATAATAGCCTCCAGATTACAACCGAACAGAAAAAGCTTAGAGCAGCTACAAATGTAGGTAAAGTATCTGTGGGTGAGAATTTAGTTACTTCCCAAAATACTGATAAGCAGCCAATATAAATAAAGCAAGAACATAAAAGTGACATTTTGTAGCATCTCTAAGAGTGTGTCTACACATGAGCTTTAATGTGTGTTAGCTTATTTTAATGCACAGTAAAGCATTACAAAGTGCTCTGTAGCTAATGCACATTAAAATAGGCTAGTACTTCACAACAGAGGTATTAGATTTAGTGCACATTACCTAAAGTGCATTAATGAACATGTTAAGCAACCCCCCCTAAAAAAAACCCCCAACAAATGAAAAACAAAGAAAAAACTTCCTATGAAGGTCTTTGAAAAGCTGCATTACACTTACCTGCATGTCCATGGCCAAGCCAGTTATCTTTTAGTTGACAATTGAGGAAAATACAATGAAAACAGGTGACAGACTAGAGTGATTTTTAAACAGGTCAGGCTTTTAGCCTCAATTTTAGCCAAATGAAACCATGCTGCAGCACTATATTTTGTGAAGTTCCACATTAATCTGGAAAATGGAAGACCTCCAACCACCTACAGAACAGATCAGCTGCAACTACTCAAGCTACCATACCGACAAACCCTCCACCATCACCTCAAGCAGCCACGTGTAGGACTGAGATGGAGGCTGCTTTCATGCTCATTCAGTCTTTGGCTCTGTGCAGAGATTACCAACTACAAGCCAATTAATCTTTGTTAAAAGCCTATATTAAAAACCTAAAAGTCTGCGTCATACATTTGTTGTTTCATTTGCTTAAGAGTTTAAGTGCTGCATTTACTATATGTGACAAAAAACCAGATAAGCAGAAAACTTAAATACTGCAATTATCACGTCACAGAAAACTATCAGTTTCCTGAACTGCACTGCTCTAGTTTTTTAGTGTTATTTTACCTGAGAAGAAATGTGTTTACTGTAGTATCAGATAACACTGTTCCTCAGTAATTGGTTTTACTAGCAAGAAATGGGATACGTAGCTTTTGGTTTATCCTATTTTTTTTCCCCACCAACTTTGTTTTCTCAGCTGCAAATTTCACATTGCTTTGAATGTCAAACAGTAATCAGATCCTTACCAGAAGAACCACCACCCAAGATTTACAACTATAATTTAGTTGACAGTGTTGTTGGCAATGAAACAAAATCCATCTTATGTTCTAGCCACTGTATTGGGCCCGCAGGACTAACAGGAGCGAAGATGCTACACAAGGCAACGTAAGTGGAAGAGAAGGAAGGACCAGATCTGTTAATCAAGATGGTGGCACTTCTACAAAGTTAAAGATGTAGCTAACATAACTACAGCTGATGTTACTCATTCTCCATGTTCCTACTCTAGCTCCAATTATTTCATAAATAACCATAATACAGTAAAGGGACACAGGAAGAACAGAAAAGAGGGAGAAAAGAAAAGGAGAAATATCGGAGACTATTAAATTCAGTTCCACTTCTAAAAATGGCATCAAGAGGAAAGAACCCAGAACAGCCCATGTGATAGCTAAATGAGTAGCACGTTCACTTCAAGATCACCAATCTGACTCAAGCCTGTGTCAACAGTGAAAGCTTAAATTCTCTAGCAGTCTTTACGACACTACTCTAGTCTTTTCTGTCCACGGTGAAGAAGAGTCTGTATCTATCACAATTAACAGCCTCTCTGACCTAAGAGCTGGGTGGCCATCCACAACAGTGCCAAAATGAAGCAAGCAAGGAACTCCGGGGAAGCCTTTACTGCTCCCAACTTTCCTGGGCACAAAAGGCTTCATTCACCGCAGTCAACACAGAACTTTGTACTAGCACAATTCCTGGATTCTGCCCCACCCCTGGAAGTAGCTGATAAGACCTGGACTATAAAAGTGACTTATTTTAGATACAAATACAAGAACCAAAGCACCAAATACAAGAATGACCTGAAGGATACAACAATGCAAATCCAGTTAAACAGGAGCATGAACATGTAGTCTGCTGGCCTTCCATCAAAAGCACCTAAAAAACAAAATGAGTTGTTAGCAAAACATTTTCAGGATCTCCAAGAGACTTTGGTTCTTAGGAACTATGATTTCAAACCCCTCTTGCTCAGTGGGGACAACACATCATAACAAATTTAATCCGACTTTATAGGTGCTTCAGCGTTTAAGGTGACATTTGCATATCTGACCACCTCAAGCACACATTTTACCAGGTGTGCAAGTAATTTATTTCAGAAGTTAACTTTTTAAAATCCATTATTGCTCATACTGATTTATTTATAAGTGACCCTGTGGTTTCTGCAATCTTTCTCCCCAAGCTGTGTGTTGACACGATTGGATAGTGCAGTGGTACTCAACCTCTGGGGCTCCCCACAGGTCTGGAAATTTAGCACTGGGAAAGCAGTAGCTGTGTTAATTGCTCCCAGAGTCACAACAATTAACACTGCCACTGCCCCCCCCCCAAGTTTCCAGACCCATGATGAGGACCCCAGCAGATTGTGACAGCAGACAGGGTCACACTGTAGCCAGATTCAGCATGGGGGATCCAGCTGATGGACTGGCTCTACATTAAGATGGAGGGAAAAGGGAGGGAGAGTGGCCCAATCTGGCCCACAGGACAAGAGAGGTTGAGCATGATTGAGATACAGCTATCTTGCCCTTATCCTTCAAATAAAAAGGAGAAAGACAACGACAGACAGCATCATCAGTACAGAATTTTGTTAGGTCTTCTTGATTCCACAGACTGGAGATACGCCAGTTATTTTTCCTTGCAAATGAGAGTCCCCAACTCCTCCATTGCCTCCTCTCTGGATATGGATGTTGAAGCATCTAGTTGTAGCCAGATCAGGCCAAAAGGGGCACAACATGGCAAGTTAACATTCAACCTTCTGCCATATCTTCTTTTGGTTTTCTTGCTTTTGGAAGCTTAAGAGTCAGAGGGTGGCAATTTCCCAAACTAGGCGATTTTGTGGTTTTACTTCCTTTAATATGGCTTTATGGTATGTCTTTTATTCCCCTCTAAGAAAGCCTCATAATATACAAAAACCCAAAGATTTAATATGTTTAAAGGAATGCCGAAAAGATGTAAGAGGGCCTGTTGCATTAGTTGTGGTCCTACCCAGACCATTTTAAAAAGGACAGCATGGTGTGATCTTAAGTGGATTTGACTCTACAAGTGTTAACAGATGCTTAACCCAATATCTCATAAAAAGGCAGTTACTGGCAAGGAGATTTTAACAACACAAGTGTGCATGCACAAATCAAATAGAGTATATAGAGATTAAAGTGTGGTTTGCCTCTTGACTATGCAGTTCTGTAAAAACTTACATCTGTTTCCTGGGTCAACTTAGTTATTTTAGTCACTAAACTAAGCAGATGAGGCACTTATTTTTTTTCAGGATTCCCAGTAGCCCCCAAAAGCCAAGACAAATGAATGGTCATTAATTAAACCTATTCCCTTCTCTCTCAAAAATGGCCTCCCCAAGTATCAATTTGTACCACAGCACTAAACTCCGCTCTGAAGATATAAGGGACTACCAGCAGGGGTGGGCAAAATGTGGCCTGGGGGCCAGATGTGGCCCGCCAGGCCATTCTATCTGGCCCAGGGGGCCCCTAAAAATTTAGAAAATTAATATTTATTTGCCCTGGGCTGCCTGTCACGTGGCCCTCGATGGCTTGCCAACACTCAGTAAGCGGCCCTCTGCCCAAAATAATTGCCCGCCCCTGGGCTACAGGAATGTCAGAGTATAACTCTCAACAGCAGAGCCCTTGCTGTGGGCAAGTCAACATAAAAAAAAAAAAAAAAAAACCAACCAAAAACAAGTCCTCTTGAACTTTAAACCTTGGGATGATTCCACAAGCCTGGCTGTCAAGAGTAGTTTTTTAATTTGAAAAAGGAGTGTATTTTCAGTCTCCAGTCCTGCATCACTATCTGTTAGCCTGGACTTTTGCAGTGACTCATATGACACTCCAGAAGCAGAGAAGTCCACATTAACAGATGTGGGGGCAGCATAAAGACTTAGGTGAGGCTGTTGCACAGATATAAATGGAATCTACCGTGACTCAAAAACAAAACCACAGACCACGGAAAAGCAGAACCACACTTGTAAACGGACATCAAAATGCTCAGGGGCACCTACTGCCCTCTACGTACACGTACAGCTCAACAGAGCAAGAAGGTAAAGATGGGGCTTTCTTTAGTAACAACTGTATTATACGGCATGCAAGTACTACTGTAATTATTTTATATTCCACCCCCAAACAGGAAAGGGTTTAGATACTGCTTTAAAAAAAAAAAAAGAAAAGAAAAAAAATTACAGGCCTTTTCTGAGGGATTTTTTTTTAATTTGGTTACAGAAAAGTTTTTTCCTCCCACACTGTTGCTGTGAGAACTTATGCAGAGGAAGGTGATTGACTCCACAAGAAACATGACTAGTAAGACAAAAAACAAAATAGGCAAAAAGATTATTTCCTCTAAGCTCTTTCCCTTCTAATTATCTTGGGGTTTACTTAAGTTGTGGATAAATGAAAAATTATAAGTGGCTTTGAAGTTAGTGTCCCTTTAAATATCTGAAAATCCTGAGCTAAATACTTCCATTCCTAAGACAGCAAAACAAGTATTACAAGGGTCTAAGAAAACCATTTTATAATCACCAATTTCAATTCCTCTTATTCTCAGAAGAGATAAACTAAGCCAGGGATGTAATTTTTGTTATTAAAATAAAGGGCTCTGGAAACCCAGCTATGTCTTTTCTGCATTTCCCAGATAAATGCAAGTTTACAAATAAACTTGAGTGAGATCCTTAAAGCGGATCTTTAATGTTAGCATCTGCCCAGAAAAGTTATATAAGGATGTCTTCACGTGCAATATATCCCACTGATCGTGGGAATTTTGCTCACAAATTGACAGCTGTGCTGGTCTACATCATGAGCAACTTGTGTGCTCACAACTGTAAATCTTGACATGCTTGAAAGTTTTTAACAGAGGGCAAAGATCAGTAGGGGGGCTCTGAAGCAGCCAACTTTCTTATTTCTAGAAAAATTAACTGCAAAAATTATTTTGCCAGTCAACTGTACCTCTCCAGGGCAGTACTAGCCCCAACTATAGAAGTTTACAGTGGTGTGTAACTTATTGTTAAAAAGATCACTTCTTTCATATTCTTGGCATCATAAACACAGGAAAGCACCCAGATTTCCCACCATAAGAACTCCTTGTTCACAAATGTGCAAAGCTGTCTTCAATATTCAGTGTTTCGGTGCCTTCTTAATGATTGTATGTAGTCAGTGATTTAATCTTCTCTTTCCTCAACATGTTCTGCTCTACCTAGGACCACAAAGGACTGCTCTTTAAATTATGGCATGAGGTGCTTACGTATAGCCACTTACAGAAAAGGCGAGACAAAACCTAAATACCACTAACAGTGCTACTTAGTAACATCTGTTACCTGAGCATTTCCAGTTGTGAGTCCTAATGATCTCTCATAATTAGGGTTATGCAGAAGGCAGGGCAGTGTGGCACTTTAGAGGCTAATTAGTTCAGAGACGCATAAGCTTTGGTAGGCAACAGCCTACTAGCATCTGACATATATGAAAGAAAGCTTATGCTTCTGAACGAGTTAGCATCTAAATGCCTTGTTACATGTCATACTTAGAGCTGCTCAAACGCTGATCAGTGTTAGTGCTAGCTCAAGTTTAGAGCAGTTGTACCTTACGACTAAACACTTTGACTGTTTCCCACCTTCATAGCTGTGACTTGCCACTAGAGGGCTTGTGAGCAGGGACCTGACCAGGAGCTAGAGCTGTAAGCTGCCACTACAGGGCTGGTGAACCAGGACAGGCTTCTTTCCTTGCTCTAGGAAGGGGTGAGAGACATGGGTTGGGTGGAGTGGGGGCAGGAACATGAAGCTGGGAGGTAGAGAGTTAAGGGGGTGGGCCTGGGTAACGAGATGGGAGGTGGAAAGGAAATGGGGTGGTGAAATGAAGGAAGTCAACCACTGAAGGTTAAAATAGAAAGAAGAATTTAAAAAAGGAAGCAAATTAAAGGTCTTATGTTTTAACAAACTGTGTTTTGGATTTGGGGTGTGGAAGGTGCTGGTCACATTTCTCAGGGTGGCTAGGAGGTGGGAGTGGTGAGGGAAGGCACTTTTGAAAGAGCTACTGCCCCTGTCCC